GACCATCCTGGCCAACATGGTGAAACCTCGTCTCTACTAAAATACAAAAAAATTAGCTGGGTGTGGTGGTGCGCACCTGTAGTCCCAGCTACTCAGGAGGCCAAGGCAGGAGAATTGCTTGAACCCGGGAGGCAGAAGTTGCAGTGAGCCGAGATCGTGCCACTGCACTCCAGCCTGACAACAAAGCAAGACTCCATCTCAAATAAATAAATAAATATTAAAATAAATAAATAAAACCCCCAACTTTCTCTTTGTTCTTCAGACACACCAAAGACCTCCTAGTCTATGTGTATGCCTCAAATTGCAATTCTCGTATTCCAAATAAAATGTTAAATTTAGAGACTCATCTCTACATTTTTATTTAGACTTTGACATGGGCAAGAGAGCGCAACTATAGTACCACGCCAGGCATGGTGGTTCACATCTGTAATCACAGCACTTTGGGAGGCTGAGGCCTGTGGATCACCTGAGATCAGAAATTCAAGACCTGCCTGGCCAATATGGTGAAACCCCATCTCTACTATAAATACAAAAATTAGCCGGCTCTGGAGGCATGCATCTGTAATCCCAGCTACTCAGGAGGCTGAGGCAGGAGAATCACTTGAACCCAAGAGACAGAGGTTGCAGCTAATATCATGCACTGCACTCCAGCCTAGGCAACAGAGTGAGACTCCATCTCAAAAAAAGAAGGAAAAAAAAGGCACGAAGAGTATCTAGGATATGTAAGCAACTCAGTTAGATAGGAGAGGCCAGGGCAGTGGCCTGCTAGAGAGGAGACCAGAGTTGAGACGTAAGGATGACCAGGAGTTAGCCAGAGAGTCACTGGGAGTGGGGAGATAAAGGAGCCCACAGAGGTGGAGTTCACCTGTGTAAGGCCTAGAATTTGGCTCAGTATTAAGTGCTGCTTTGAAATCTGGTCAAACCGAGAGACCCTGGAATGCTCTAACCACAAATTCCCCTCCCTTCTGCTCTCTTGGATAAGATCCTCCAGCCAAACACGGTGTGCAGTTCCTGCTTATCTCTGAGCAGTGGGTGTCAGTCAATTCCCTGTTAGCCGGAGAAATTATTCAAACAAACCTGTCATATTCTCCTGCAGGAATCACCCCACCTTTTTGAGAGCACGAAGCCTGACTCCAGACCCTGGCTGTTCACTCCGTTCCCAAGTGCAGCCCCTGTGGCCCTACATGCTATGCTGTGTTCTGACCCAGAATGTGTTATAAACTGCTGTCATCTCATCTGCCCTGTGTGAGATGTCCTGTGTTTGGCCATTCCCATAACTCTAGAACAGAAATCCCTTTCTCACCAGCAGGATGAACAGGAGGTGATTAAAGCAATCCCTGTAAGGGCAGCCATTGCAGACCATAGTATCGGGAGCCCCTGGAAGGTGTCGAGCAGGGGTTAGCCCTAGCCAGTTCTGAGTTTTATATCTGTTGATACCTGTTTATATCTATTGATGGTTCTGGCCAGTGTATGGGCTGGGTTTGAAGGGAATGACACTAGAAGGAGCAAGTCTGATTAGGAAGTGACTGATTAGCAGGTGCCCAGGTAAGAGATGGCAGAGACCTCAACTAGGACCAGAAACACAGGGGTAGAGAAGGAAGGCGAGCCTTGGGAGGTGTTTATAATGCAGAAATTATTATCGGGTTGGCTCCACTTAATCAAAAGACAGCAAATATGTGTTGAATACATTAGTGCATACGTGCATATGAATTGAGCTCTATTGGGCCTAGCAGAACTGCAGGATAAGGTTGGGCCGGGTGGGCCCTTCCCAGAGGCAGCCAGCTGTGGGGGTGAGGGCTGTGAGGTCTACCCTGCACTCTGCTTACCAAGTGTAATGCAGAAGTTTGCAGAGGACAAGTTAGATGAACCAAATCCCTAGCAAGACACTACTAAGACTGACCCAAAATAGCATCAAATCTGAATATGCTAACGTCAGTTGTAGACGGTAATTTTATCCATTAGGATTAGTAATTTAAAATCTTCTCACAAAGAAATCCCAGGCCCAGATTGTTTCCCTGGAATTCCTTTGTAAACGCTATCAAACATTTAACAAAAATGAGTGGGCTAGTACCAACACAAATTCTATAAATATTATAGAAAGGAAAAGAACAATTTCCAACTCATTTTATTAAGCCAGTATTACCCTGACACCAAAGCTAAAGACATCATAAGAAAAGAAGACTATGGACCAGGTGCAGTGGATCATGCCTGAAATCACAGCACTTTGGGAGGCCAAGGGGGGCGGATCACTTGAGGCCAGGAGTTCAAAACTAGCCTGGCCAACATGACAAAACCATGTCTTATCTCTACTAAAAATACAAAAAAAAAAAAAAAATTGGCTGGGTGCAGTGGCATATGCCTGTAATCCCAGCTACTTGAGAGGCTGAGGCATGAGAATTGCTTGAACCCAGGGAGCAGAGGTTGCAGTAAACTGAGACCATGCCTCTGCACTCCAGCCTGGATGACAGAGAGAGACTCTGTCTCAAAAAAGAAGACTGGAGAGAGATAGCATGGGGAGAAATGCCAGATGTGGGTGAAGGGGAGGAAGGCAGCAAATCACACTGCCACATGTGTACCTATGCAACTATCTTGCATGTTCTGCACGTGTACCCCAAAACCTAAAATGCAATAAAAAAAAAAGAAAGAAAGAAAGAAAAGACGAGGCCGGGCGCGGTGGCTCATGCCTGTAATCCCAGCACTTTGGGAGGCCGAGGCGGGTGGATCACGAGGTCAACAGATCGAGACCATCCTGGTCAACATGGTGAAACCCCATCTCTACCAAAAATTCAAAAATTATCTGGGCATGGTGGTACGCGCCTGTAGTCCCAGCTACTCGGGAGGCTGAGGCAGGAGAATTGCCTGAACCCAGGAAGCGGAGGTGGCAGTGAGCCGAGATTGTGCCATTGCACTCCAGCCATGGGTAACAAGAGCGAAACTCCGTCTCAAAAAAAAAGAAAAGATGACTGAACAAATAGCTCTCATGAACACAGATGCAAAACCCTTAACAAAATATTAGCAAATCAAACCCAAGAACATATAAAAAGAAATTGTGGTGATTTTCACAAATATCCACAAATACTTCGATTCTGCTCCCTTTAAACTATGACTCCGAACTGTCCTCTTGATTGTGGGCTGAACTTAGTGGCTTGCCTCTAAAGAGAAGAATGCAGCGGAACTGGCAGTGTTAGGATCCCAAGGGTAGGCACAAAACGCGTTGTGGCTTTCTCTTTGCTCCCTCTCTTTTCTCCTTATTTTCTCTGGGGAAAGCCAACTAACCTGTAATCAGTCCACTCAAGCAGCCCTGCACGCTGTGGAGAGGCAGACATGGCAATGAACTGAGCCTCCTGCCAAAGCCATGTGAGTGAGCCACCCTGAAACTGCATCCTCCAGGCCCAAACCACCCATCAGACTACTGCAGCCCTGGTCAACATCTTTTTTTCTTTTCAGCTCCTTCATTTTTTTTATTGAGGTGAAATGCATATGACATAAATGCATGTAACAGAAACCATTTTTAAAGTACATAATTTAGTGGCATTTAGCATATTACAATGTTATGCAACCTCCACTTCTATAAAGTTCCGAAACATTTTCATCACTCTCCTCTCAAAAGCAAGCCCATACCCACTAGGCAGTCACTCCCTATTCTCCCCTCCTTGTATCCCCTGGCAACAACCAATCTGTCTCTATGAACCTCCCCATTCTGGATATTTCATACAAATCAAATTATATAATACGTGACCTTCTGTGTCTGACCTTTGTTACTCAGCATACTGTTTTTGAGGCTCATCCACATTGTAGCAGGTATCAGTACTTCATTCCTTTTCGTGGCTGAATAATATTCCATTGTACGCATATGCCACATTTTGTTTATCCATTCATCAGTTGATGTACATTTGGGCTGGGTCTATCTTTTGGCTGTTGTGAATGGTGCTGCTATGAATTCTGTATACATGTGTCTGCGTATCTGTGTTTGATTCTATTGGGTATATACCTACGAGTGGAATTGTCAGGTAACGTGGTAATCCCATGTTTAAGTTCTTGCCACACCGTTTTTCACACCAGCTTCATCATTTTACATTCCCACCAGCACGAGAGTTTCAATTTTTCAACTTCCTCACCAATGCTTGTGATTTTCCCTTTTGTTTTTTAAAATATGGCCTTATTAGTGGGTATAGAGTCTCATTGCGGTTTTGATTTGCATTTCCCTAATAATTAGTGATGTTGATTATCTTTTCAAATGCTTATTGGCCATTTGTATATCTTCTTCCAGGAAATGTCCTTTGTTTATTTTTTAATTGGGTTGTTTCTTTTGATGTTGTTCAGTTTTAGAAGTTCTCCGTGTATTTTGGATAGCAATTCCTTGTCAACTATGTAATTTAGTTCGGGCACAGTGGCTTATGCCTATAATCCCAGCACTTCGGGAGGCCAAGACAGGTGGATCACTTGAGGTCAGGAGTTCGACACCAGCTGGGCTGGCGAAACCCCATCTCTACTAAAAATACAAAAATTAGTTGGGTGTGGTGTCACATGCCTGTAATTCCAGCCACCCAGGAGGCTGAGGCAGGAGAATCATTTGAACCCAGGAGGTGGAGGTTGCAGCGACCTGAGATCACACACTGCATTCCAGCCTGGAAGACAGAGTGAAACCCCATTTCAAAAAGAAGTCTGTCTGACACTGGCATGTAAAGTAGAAGACAAGAGCGAGAAATGATGCTGAAACTGGGGAACCTAATTAGAATTCTATGTATGGAAAACCCCCGACAGTTCAGTCCTTTCTACCCACTTGTGAAGAAGCAGTGCACAGCCTCATTTATTCCCAGGTAGAGGAAAAAAGTGCTGACAAACCAGGGTATTCTCTAACAAAAAGCTGAGTAGAGCAGCTGGAGAAAGCCATGGCTTCTCGCATATGGTGTCCTGCAGCACAGCTCTCCACATTTGAGCACCTGCAGCATCTGTAGCCTACAGCCTCTAGATTGAAATCTTTTTCTAAAATATCCCCTGAGGGTCGCTCCATTCCTGGAGGTACTGCAATACCAGGTCGATGTGTGGTGTGAATATGGAGCAAGCTCCTATTCCATCTCCCTGCTCAAAAAAGTCCATTAACTATACTGTCCTCAGATAGAGGACATACCAGATATTAAAGGGTAAGAACAGATTCTATACTTGATCTTAGCCAAAAGCCAAGAAACGATCTAGAGTGAAATCTTATCAGTATGCCCTGGACAAACCCCCTTTTCCACTATCCCCAGGAAATAGACCTTCCTACGCAGAGGCATAGGAAATCCACACCAATCACAGAATGATTGATTTCCATAACAGACAGAGAGGACTCAGCAGACATATGCTGAAACCAGCAGTGTGGGAGAGAAGTCAAAAGAAACAGACAGGAGAATGGATGCAGGTTGACTATCCCTTATCAGAAATGCTTGGGACCAGAAGTGTTTCGGATTCAGACTCTTTTGAGACTTGGACTATTGTATACACAGCATGAGATATCCTGGACATCAGACCCAAGCCTGAACTTAAATTACTTATGTTTCAGACACATCTTATACATAGAGCCTGAAAGTAATTTTATACAATATTGCAATAACTTCTGCATAAAATGAAGTTTGTGTGCATTGAACCATCAGAAGCAAAGATGCCACTCTCTCAGCCACACATGTGGACAATCTGCAGTCTCTTGGCACCATCATTCCTGACTGTGAATTTATATGCTACCAATAAGCAATCATTTTCTTACACTTACATTGTGACCCATCACATGTAATGTGATCCATCATGTGACCCGTCACATGTAATGACTGCTGAGGCAATCATTCTCTTGCCTTAGGCTCCTGAGTATCTGGGATTACAGGCACCCACCACCACCCCCGGCTAATTTTTGTATTTTTAGTAGAGAGGGTGTTTCACCATGTTGGCCAGGCTAGTCTTGAACTCCTGACCTCTGATGATCTGCCCACCTTGGCCTCCCACAGTGCTGAGATTACGGACGCAAGATGCAATGCCCAGCCTGGATAATTTTTGAATTTTTGGTAGAGATGGCCTTTCACCATGTTGGCTAGGCTGGTCTGGAACTCCTGACCTCAAATAATCGCCCACCTCAGCCTCTCAAAATGCTGGGATTACTGGCATGAGCCACTGCGCCTACCCTTGTATAATTCCATTTTGTTTTTCTCTTCCCATACCAATTATACTGATTTTGTTTAAAAAAAAAGTTACAGTGACTGCCCTTGAGTTTGCCTTTACAACTAATGACTGTTTGCTTCCAGATGCTACTGTGCTGCTTCACTGGTAGTGCAGGTATCTTGGAACATTCCTTCTGATCTCATCGCATGTTCTTCAATGTAACAGAGTTATTTCCCAGCGTTTTCCCCTATGTATCTATATCTTCCCTGTGCATATGCTTTTAAAGAAAAATATAAGCCTATTGATTTTTCTCACTTAATAGATTGCAAACACACGGATTTTATTTTAGATAAGATTATTCATTTAACACGTGTTTACATACTTCTGGTTTCTGCTATACAAAAGTAGAATAGAGAAATGATTAGTATGTAGGTACCAAAAAGCCTAAATCCTCACACAAGTTTGGCCCTTATCCTTCCGTGTAATTAGAGTAAGTGACCTCATTGTGCTATGTTAGTATTTTTGAGCGCCTATTAAAAGGCTTAATTAAAAACATTAAAGTAATTATATTCCTTATCCCTTAGCTTCTTATTCTATGTAATGACTATTAGGGCAAAATATCTTCCTCAGGGCATGATAAAAGATGAAATAGAGATAACAATGTGAGATATCAAATATCCAAATAAAGGAAATTACGCTAAGGAAAATAAGCCGGGCACAGGAAGACAAATAGTGCGAGATTCACTTACGTGTGGAATTTTTAAAGTTGAACTTAAAAGCCGGGAACGGTGGCTCACACCTGTAATCCCAGCACTTTGGGAGACTGAGGCAAGCAGATCACCTGAGCTCAGGAGTTTGAGACCAGCCTGACCAACATGGAGAAACCCTGTCTCTACTGAAAATACAAAATTAGCTGAGTATGGTGGTGCATGCCTGTAATCCCAGCTACTCGGGAGGCTGAGGCAGGAGAATTCACTTGAACCAGAGAACCGGAGGTTGTGGTGAGCCAAGATTGTGCCATTGCACTCCAGCCGGGGCAACAAGAGCAAAACTCGGTCTCAAAAAAAAAGAGTTGAAACTTAAAGAGGCAGAGAATGGAATGGTGGTTGCCAGGGGCTGGGGACAGGGATGGGAAGATATTGGTCAAAGTATGCAAAGGACTTAGCGGATAGCATGGTGGCTGTAGTTAATAATAGCGTATACTTGGAAATTGCTAAAAGAGTAGATCTAAATGTTCTCACAGGAAAAAATGATAAGTATGTGAGCGGACAAATATGTTAATTAGCTTGATTTATTCATTTCACTGTGTATACAGACATATATATAAACATCACATTGCACAACATAAATATATACAATTTTTATTTGTCTATTATACGTTTTTTTTTTGTTTTTTTTTTTTTGAGACGGAGTTTTGCTCTTGTTACCCAGGCTGGAGTGCAATGGCGTGATCTCGGCTCACCGCAACCTCCGCCTCCTGGGTTCAGGCAATTCTCCTGCCTTAGCCTCCCGAGTAGCTGGGATTACAGGCACGCGCCACCATGCCAAGCTAATTTTTTGTATTTTTAGTAGAGATGGGGTTTCACCATGTTGACCAGGATGGTCTCGATCTCTTGACATCGTGATCCACCTGCCTCGGCCTCCCAAAGTGCTGGGATTACAGGTATGAGCCACTGCGCCCGGCCGTCTATTATACCTTAATAACATTAGGCATAAATTAAAACAAAATCAAATTAAATATCCAAATAATTAGGTTTCAAGCTTCCAATTAAAGATTTTACTCTCATCTTAGAATTTTAATTGGGGAAGGAAAAAGATGCAGCTATAAGGGTGACTTTTACACAGAGAATGGAGCTCAGTTCCGACTGCTGACTTAACACTTTCAGCCCCTTCCTTAACCAATGCATGTAAAGGATGTTGTGGCTGGTGTGAATTTCCTATGCATTGTATATGAAGATCTGTTCCCTGGGGTTAGGTGGAAGAAGGGGACCCAGTATAGGAGGAACCTGGACTTTCTCTGGAAAGTACACCAATTTTTGTTAGAGAAGAATATAATGTAATGATATACTGAGAGAGAGAGATCTGTATGTATAATACACACACACACACACACACACACACACACACACGTGTGTGTGTATTTGATCTCTGCCCCCAGGTTGCTGATACAGAGCTCCTAAAACCCTTGTAGATTCAGGAACGATGAGAATCTATTATTGCAATATTTGGTCTTTTACCTCTGGTTCCTAACAGAGCTCCTAAGACCTTTGTAATTTCCTCAGTGATAACATCTGACACAGAGTTCCTAAATCCCTTGGAATTTCCAGGGTGACAAGAGCATCTTTTGTTCTCATGACCCCAAGCTTGCTGGGCTCCTGGATGACCTCAGAATGGGGACTGGTTGCGAGGGGAACCAACCTTGCGATTAGAAGGTTGAGACTTTCAGCCCCACCCCTGACCTCCAGGGAACGGGGAGAGGCTGAAGGCTGAGTCCTTCACCCGTGGTCAATGATTTAATCAGTCATGGCTAGGTAATGATGCCATGACTTCCATAAAAACCCAAAGGACTGGATTTGGGGAGCTTCCAAGTAGCTGAACATCTGGGGGTTCTAGAGGGTGGTGTGCCCAGGGAGGGGAGGGAAGTTCGCACACCTCCCACACACTGCACCCACACATCTCTTCATCTGGCCTCATCTGTATCCTTGTCATAGCCTTATCGTAAGTGGGTGAACATAAGTAAAGTGTTTCCCTGAGTTCTGTGAGCTGCTCTAGCAAATTATCAAACCCCAGGAGGGCATCATGGGAGCCCCAAATCTAAATCTGAGCTGGCCAGTGGAGGTAGAGGTGGCAATTGACTACATGCAACTAGCGCCTGAAGCAGGGGCAATCTTGTGGGACCAAGCCCTCCACCTGCAGGATCTGCTTCTCCAGGTGAATAGTGTCAGAATTAAATTGAATTATAGGACGCCCAGCTGGAGTCCACAGATAATTGGTTCATGTGTGTGGAAACTCACCCCAATCCCAGGTGTCAGAAGAGTTGTGTTGAGTGACATGTGCATGAGCGTGGAGGAAAAAACACTTTGGTTTTTCTTCTCTCTCTGTAAGAGTCCTCTTATTTTATTTATTTCCTTCACCTAGGTCTCAGTGTCCTCATCAGTAAAAAGGGATAACATGCCTCACTCTGAGGATGGTTGTGAGGACTGAGGACAGAGCCTGGCAAACGGGGGATTAGTTCATAGTCACTAGTCTGCTTAGTGATGAGCTCAAGCTAATGGTCATATCATTCTCTTAGGGACACATGACACACTAGGGGCGGTTAAAGATGCTTGCACACATGCCCACACACATCTTTGACCGTGTCGCAGCGTACTCCCTGCCGCAGTGTTCCTGAAAGTCCAGGCCGTACATTGTGGTGTGTCACTCTGCCACCAGAGAGGGGCCTCTACAGAGAATGACCTCCATGTGGTGCTGCCTCTGTGGACCTAAGGCTGAGCGCTGGAGGCACAGGCCAGGCAGTGAGGCTCTAGGGAGAAGTCTTGGCAGAAAAGTACTGGGAAATCCTAGGAGTCGAGGGCACAGTCAACGAAGGTCCCTTCCTCATGCCGTTGTCACGTGGTCCCTTTAAAGCAGCCTGAACCCAGCCAGGCATGGTGGCTCACGCCTGTAATCCCAGCGCTTTGGGAGGCCAAGGCAGGCAGATCACTTGAGATCAGGAGTTCAAGACCAGCCTGGCCAACATGGTGAAACCCCGTCTCTACTAAAAATACAAAAATTAGCTAGGTGTGGTGCTGGGCACTGGTAATCCCAGCTACTTGGGAGGCTGAGGCAGGAGAATTGCTTGAATCCCTGGGAGTGAACTGAGATCACGCCATTGCACTCCAGCTTGGACGACAAGAGAGAGACTCTGTCTCATAAAAAAAAAAAAGAAAAGAAGAAGTCTGAGCCCTTTTGCCCTAGAATGGTCCAGAAGCATTGTGGGGATTCTGGAACCACCTAACCATCTAGAAGCCCCGGGACTGCTCAGGTTGTTGAAGTCAAAATCTCCTAGAGTGGAATTAGCAAA